AATAAGTTATACTCCCCCACTTCTGCCTCCAATGTTGCCCAGAAAAAATGATGAAACTATATATAACCAATGACGACATATCATTTGTAATCTTTTTTGAGGTGAAGTAAACTTTTCTACAATTACATATTGTGAGTTAATCAAATGCTTTTGGATTAAAACGTTCAAAACAGTACATGTCGTCGCCGTTTATTATTCATCTCATCAAATATAAAGATACAGAAATAGGGCGGAACCAATATATCCCACTCTTGTTCCTGTCGTCCCTCATAATTGCCGTACCAACGTCACACCCTGGATATGACTCCGCCCACACCAGGACGCGGTTTACTTTAAAACATCATGGCGTCTAGGAGAACAACAACAAACAGCATTTTAAAAAGTACAACCACTGAAGCGAAGAGGTAATTACAATTTTGTTTTAAGCTTTTCCTTTTTTTGTTTTGTTTTCTCCATTCTTTTAATGAAAATGGTCACGAAAAGTTGTTTAATAGCACGATAGGCTGCATTGTATCCACAGAACGCTGTGTACAGTGTTTTCCTTTGATTTCGCTTCAGTACAGACGATATTTTAGTTCTTGATAGATGGTATGGTAGCATTAATCGTTAGGCTGGTTCGTTTTCATAAACAAAAAGGTGAACTATTGGGTGCAATGCATCCGCGATAAATTGTCAGCAATGTACGTTTTCATATTTTATTTGTTTGTTACAGGCTTATTCAAAGATATGTCGAATTACTTTACATCATTATATACAGCCCATGTAAACCAAGTGAAAAGTTTGCAATGTTTGGTGACTAATTTAAAAATAAAAATAGAAAAACATATAATAATAGAAGATAACATTAAAATAAAAATATAACATGTGCATAAGTATTCACAGGCTCTGCCGTCACACGCAAGTTCAGGTGCATCCTGTTTTCACTGATCATCTTAAAGATGTTTTTCTACAATATGATTGGTGTCCACCTGTAGTGAATTCAGCTGATTGGACATGATTTGGACATATGCACATTTATTTACTCAGTTAACCTTGATTTTACTATGTATGTATGTAAGAGCACAAATCAAGCCATAACATCCAAGTACAAGTCATCCACAAGGACTCTTCCCAGCGCTAGCCGCAGAGCAACATTTTCATTTAATTTATTCATTCATTTTTCAACAGTGTTTCACTTCATTTTGGACCATTGTGTAGAATTTGTCAATTCATTTTAGAAAAAGGGAGGATAATAAGAAATTGTGAAAAAAATAAACCTCAATTTTCTGCATGTGCTTTTCTTCTTTCAGCTCGAAAAGTGGCAGCAATGCTAATAAAGCAAATAATAGTGGAAATGGAAAGAAACTTGTCAAACGTAAGTATTCTAGTCCAGTTTATGAAATACTTAAGTTGAGTTCCTGTGCTTCCAATGAAAAATGTTTTTGTTTAATTTAAACCAGTGACAGCCAGCATTTACTTTTCATTATCACTTCTAAATAATAAACATATGCTCAGGTTCCAACTATCTTTCTGATGATGCTTTTATGTGAAACTTTAGCTAGTGGAACTGTGGTGAAATCTCGCTACATGCAGTCTGCAGAAAAGACATTGCTGTCAAAGGTATCAAATCTTCTTTGTCTTTATTTTTTGTCTTTACTCCATATTTTTTAGCGTTTTGCATAATTCACCACTACACCAACATAAATCAATCTGTGGAACACAGCTGAAGTTTATTGTACTGTCCACAGAGTAACTCGCTGACCAATGAGTCTTTTGCTGCACCTCAACGGCCTTCCTCGCCAAAGCCCAGTGGAGTTAGACCAAAAGTGGGTACACCACCAAGACGCTCAATGGCTCCACAGGTCCTCGCAACATGTGAGTGTTAAGATAAACTGTGTTTGATAGTAATATATTACAGAGTAACACACATTTCTATAGTTTTATCTTGCTCAGTGCACAATAGTATTATTATACTAAGAAAAACATATAAGTATACAGTAAATATAAAACAAAAAAAAACGTGTTGTTTGATTACTGTATGCCTATATTCACAAGGGCTTTGGAAAGCATTATGTGTGGTAACTGTATAGAATACTCTATACTATACTGATATTTTTACTAATATCTTACACTTGTAATTATATTTAATCATTTTTGAGCAACTGTAATTTATAGGATTATGTTGCAAAGTAATTTGACATTTAAAACTAAAATATGTATATTTCTTTTCACAGTTTTCTTCAGTTCTAATGATTTATTTTTGTTCAATAACTTTTGCTTTGTAATGTTTTTACAGCTATGGCATCACGTGAAACAGACACATTACTGCTGGGTAAAAGTGTTCTTCAGTCGACCTTCTCTGATGGGCACTGCTTTCGACCAGATTTTGACATTTCAGTCATTAAAGGTAAGTTTAGATGACGCCTTAAATTGTTCATGATTGACTTAAAATTGGGCCGTGAAAATATTCATCCTTTAAATTCTCATATAAGAGAAGACAGCTGTAGAAAAAACACCAGAACCTGAGAGAAATCCTGAGGAGGAGAAAAAAAACATTGAGATGCAGACCTTCTTACTGGCCTACCTTACAGCCAAGGTGAGATCAATTTATACTCTTTACATTTCAAATCAGCTTTGCTTGAAAGCACTCCAAGTTAGTGTTGGTTTGGTTCTATGATTGTGCCTGATGACACAAACACCTTGTTGATACTCCCTAATATCTGATGTTTAATTGTAGATGGAACATAATACAGCCAAGCTCAAGGCTGAAGCGGAGGCAAAGCTCTTGCAGATGATGGAGGAAGAGGAAGCATTAAGAAAAGAGGTCCAAGTAAAGAAACGCCAGTGTTTACTCGCAGAAAAGAGTAGCCTGGTGAATGAGCTGTTGGATTTACAGGTCAATTTTTTTCCCCCTCATATTCTGTAGTCCTGTCATAATAGCCATACATTGAAGTTATCATATTACCTTGAAGACAGATTCTGACTTTTATCTCCTACTGTACTTTGGCCTCGGCGTTTTCTATAACCCTGTTGTTTTATAGATTGCTGCACTGACTCCTGTGGCAGAAGCTGCCAAGCAATTTACGAAGGATTATAAATCCTTTGCGACTGCTGTAGACACAACCCGCCATCAGCTTCCTGTTAAAAATTTCTACATTGAAGAAAACAGAAGGGAGTTTCTAGGTACAGTAGTAAATGTTGTATTTTCCAACAGTTTAATCATTTAAACATATAACATTTAGGCTTTTGTCTGTTATATTTATATTTATGAATGATTGAGCAAAAACTCTATGTCCCTACCCATTTCAGATAAAGCTGAAGCTTGTCTGAAGGAGAGTGAGAAGTTGTTGTTGGAGTGCACCGAGGGAGATCATGAGGACAACAGCATCTCTCTGGAGTGCCTAAAGAACTTGAAAAAGGCATCGAATGACATCAGTCACCAGGTGTCAGGGTGGGTACTAAAGACTGTTGGTATTTTCTCCTCTGTCAGCATTTCATGTTAGTCTTCAGACTTCACCAAATGTTGTGATGCCTTTACAAAAGTTTTTTAAAGACGGTCTTCCTAAACAGCACTGATGTGAAATTCACCAAAAATATCTAGTATGTATTTAAAGAAAATAGATGTTGGCTTTATACAAAACAAACGAGTATGGCTACTGGGGACTCTTGTACTGAGACAGTGTTTGGTTCCTTTTTTTCCCCACAGAACATTTTCAGATCTGCTGGATCTGTCATCCCTGTCTTTCCGCCATACAACCCATGTCCAGCAGACTCTGGAGGAAGAGCAGCTGGGGACAGAGAGGACCCTGGAGCTCTATATTCCCAAAGAGTGAAGGAAACCACGCAGGAAACAAATGAAATGCACTTTGATAACTTCTATATAATGTCTGAACATATTTTTACCACTTTTTATGAACTTGTTTTAAGCTGTGTTAAGTGTTGATTAATAAACTGTTTAATTCATTGAAAAACTGTATCAATACAATTACTGACATATGGAAGAGTTACTTCATTCCAAAATCAAGTACTGTACTTTAGTTCTGTAACCATCTCTGTAGTAGTGAAGAAACATACATGATGAGACACAGCTGAGCGACTGATGGAGCTCTGATGTATTTTACTATAGCACCAAATGTAATTCATCAAATCCTTTGATACATTTACTATTCCACCTTCATTGTATCTCTGCAAGTATCATACCATTAACCACTCCATTATAGGGTTGCATATAGAGACAAACCACCATTTTCACCTAAACCTAAATAAAATTAATTTTTACACAGCAGCGTTTGCCAACATATTCGTTATCCCTTATTCATACGTGACATTTGTTCCTTTGCACCACTGTGCAGTGTGCAGTTTTTTTAAATCAGGAATTATGAATATGTGAACATTCTTAATTCTTAGAGGGTTTTTTTAAACTCGGCTTAGCTGAACATAGGGCGCCTGTGTTGGTCATATTCGTGGTACAAATATTTCAGATATTTCAAATATTTCTTTGTCACAGTGCAAAACTGACAACAACAGGGTTATATAATCATTTTAACAACCGTTCCCAAACTAGGTCGCACATTGAAAAACGAACGACTTAATTTAGAAAGTTAACGTAGACTGCTAAACACTTTCCAAAATTATAGTTTGTATTTAATTAATTAATTTTATTTTTCATTTTAATTTTACTCAAATACTATAAGCTCCATTATTTAAACGTAGGTTCGTGGTTATTTATTTTTTCACCGGATGTGATGTCAAGCCAAAACAAAGTATTACATCGTTTACAGGAAGTGACGAATTTTCAAAGCATCAATGTCCCATCATTTGTGAGTATACGCTGGAGTTTTTTTTTAAACAGGTATATCTTTCGAACATAATCTATAGATGATATATGTGTTGCATTCATTGACCAACATTAGGAAACGTAAGTATTATTGTTGTTGAATGTGTAACTTCAAATTATTAGACAACGGCTAACTTTCGTTAGCCTCTCCAACAATCAGCTAAGTTATTTTTTTTTTTATTTTGCTCTACTTTGTTCCACTTTTTAACAATATATGCTATATTTCAGTGACATATGACTGTTATCGACTTACCAAAGAACTGATTCTACTAAAGTTTTGATTTTATTTATTTTGACAGATTTAAGGTTTAAACATTCTCAACACAAGTCTTATTGTCTTTGTTACATAACGAGCTTGTAGCTGAATTAAATTTTGTTTTGTACATACCTGCTGCTTCTAATCAAATTCCTTTACACAGGCCTCACTTGCATGTACATAGGGGTAGAGAGTGGAGGCAGAGGAACCAGAAACAGGGTCAAAACAGAGCACAAATGAAACCAGAGGAGGATCAGAGACATGATAAGCAGACGGTGCCCAAAGGTACATGTCAGACCATGTGTCCTGCTCATGAACTGCGGGCTCGTGAAAGACAGAAACGACTCCACCGTTTTGAGATCCTTCAAGGGACAGAAAATGAAAGATGCCCCAGGGGAGATCCATTGCATGCTGTGAAAGAGTATTCCAGACCAGCAGCTGGGAAAGATGCAACAAACCCTGCTGATCTACGTCCAACACCAGTCCTGCTCAAAACTGTGTGTTACCTTATTAATGACGTTGCTGCTAGCCCAGATTTACATCCATGGACTGAGGCAAGTAGAACAAGTACAATTTTACTGTTACAAAACAACAAAACAAATGTGGATTGGGAGTAACGGGAACATCATCTCTAGATTTAAATGCATAAATTAGCTGTAACAAATATGATATATAATAAAATATATTTCAACAAACTTAAAACAGGTTTGTATGCTGTGACTACAAAAATCACGTCAAGTTCATAGACATTTGAATTATTTTAAGTTGCCTTGATAAAAGGATAAAAGGACTATCATTTTTCACTTGCTTTTTGTTTATATTTCCAGGTTTACAGCTTTGTTTTTGATCGACTCCGTGCTGTGAAGCAGGACATGATCATCCAAAGGGTGTCTGGTCCTGACTGTGTGTCTATTTTGGAACGGGCAGTGCGCTTCTTAGTCTATGCATCTTTTCGTCTTTGTGGTGAACCCTTGGGGCTGTATGACCCTAGCATTAATGACACACATCTGCAAGAGAATCTCAGCTGGCTTTTGGATTGCTACGCAGTGGGAACTGAATCGTATCCCAATCAGGAAGAATTCCAAGCTCTGGGACTTCTGTACAACCTAGGTTGATGAATTTGTAAATTTCCTTTGACATGAAAACTAAACAACTACTTTTATGTTTCCTTGTATTCACAATGTGACAATTCACATGTTCATATTTCCTCATCACTGCAGGTTCAAGTCGTGCTGCTCAACACATCATGGAGCTCCCAGAGCGTCTCCGCAGCGGTCCGACCATCAGGCTTGCTCTCTCCATCAACCGGGCTTTTCGTGAGAGAAATCCTGTGCGTTTACTTCGACTGGCTCATAAGTTAAACTTCCTGCAGTATTGTGCGCTCCATCGCCACCTGGTGACCTGTCGTAGAGACCTGCTGCTTGTGTATAGCCACGGATACAGCAGCCGTAACTGTTGCTTCTCTCTCGACAATCTAGCTCTGCTCTTATTCCTAGACAAGTCACTTACAGCTCAGCTCTGTCGGAGTCATGGAGTGGAGGTCACTAAGGACAACCACGTGGTGTTCTCTAAGTCCGCCTTCACTGAGCCAGAACAAGGGAAGACGCAGTGCAAACTGTATCACAGCACAGTTGTTGAGAAACAGAGAGACCTCGATGTTGGCAGTATAATTGATGGCAGTGCCTGAGATGAATGGAACTTTTTCATTCATGCAAATGATGTCTATTATAATGAAACTGAATACCTGGTCCTTTTTTAAAACGTGTGCCTGGAATTGCAGTGCAGAAATTGCAGTGCAGAAACTGTTTACTCATTGGACACAATGAATGCAATTTTGATCGTATTTCTAAACTTTTGTGCATTTTAATTGTGAGTTTTAGGACCGTACCTAAAAGTGCCATCACACCCTCAGACTAAGTCATGGTTGAAGATATGTTTTTAAATTGTCACATGGAAAATGAACATTATGGTATATAGGTATATTTAAAAGCTGTGATGAACAACATACTAATACTTTTATTATTTCTGCACTGTAAATAAAGATAAGTGGTAAATAAAGTAAAATTTATAGTAAACCAGTTTGTATGAATGTGATATATAAGTCTACTTCTCATTAGATAGCAAACATTTTTGGGTTAGCTGGTTTGGGATGGTGAGGGGTTTATTTATTTTATTTTTTCTTTCTTTGTTTGTTTTGAAAATTGAATTAAGATATCCTTTGACAGGAGGGTTTAATCAGACTACATTAAGTCTGGTCCTAAACCTAAACCTAGATAATCTAGGTCAGTGAATCTCTTGGTATACACTGAAATGGACATAATCCCCTCAAGTGATTCAATGAGAAATGTAGTTTTTTTTGGGTTTTTTTTTTTTTTTGTTTGTTTTGTTTTTTGTTTTTGTTTTTTGGTATTTCATGCCATTCTTGTTTTTATTGATACATCTATGTAATCAAATGTTGAATAAACCGAGTTTATTAGTAAGCATGCTTATTTAGTCATTCTCATTGGCAGTTTGTGGTGACAACACAATTTTGCTTATCTGTTTCTTGAAAGACTTTTCAAGTACTTCCATTGGTTAAAGTACTTCTGGTACACAATGTCTTAATCTGTAAAAAGAAAAACACCATGAAAGATGTGTTTTCCATGTTAACCTGGCTTCCTGAAAGACAGTAATCAGGATTCACGTTACCTTGAACCATGATTTTGCCAAGTATACTTTATCTATCCGCGTGAAAGACAAAAATTTACATACTCTTCCGCTAGATGGCAGCATATAGCTATACAAATTCAGACAAGACAGAAGATCTGTCTTCCATTACTGTGAGTATATCAGGCTGTATGTTAAACAACACTGTCATAGTATAAATAAAGTATGTTAAACAACACTGTCATAGTATAAATTCTGAGTAAGTCACTTGTGCAAATATTAAACTGAGACGATAATTTAAGTAAATAATATTTACTTTGGGCCATTTTTTTTCTAATGTAAAGTATCTGGCGTGGCTCAAAAACAAAGTTTCCTGCAACTTCACCGCTTGGTGGCAGCATACATCTGCGTGAGCTACCAAGTCAATATAACCAGAACAAAACCAAAGCGGTACATGTCAGATAGTTTTCTTCCCTTTGGTGTTTGTCTTTTTCAACTCGATCGAAATCATATCGTTGACGTCTGTATGCGATTTTTAACCCACGTCAGTGACGTGAGCAAGTAACTTGCTCTCTAGTGGTCACAAAAACCTGCCTTTAGTCCTGGTGCCGCCGTAGTGACCTGAGAGCAGTCTTTGAAGAGACTCATCAACAGCCTGGAGCTGATCATCTCCTCCTGACGCGCAGCTGCTGCAGGAGCCGAAAGAAGATCGAGTGAGATCTCGTCTGGAGGATCACAGCAGACCGTGGAGGCAGAGGCAGAGGCAGGAGAGGAAGAGCTGTACATGTCAAACAGATCTTTACGGTGCGCTGGAGTGGGAGGACGCTTACTGTTTGTAATGCTGAAATATGAGAGAAGGGAACCGGGGCGGGTGAGAGCACATGGGAGAGGACTGTCCGTGCGCTCTGCGCTCTGAAAGGAGGAGAAGAAAGAAACCGTCTGCTTTGAACTGGGTTTTGCGAAGCGGGATGATTACGAAAAGTTGATCCGCAGTTCCGGACGAAGCCCTGTGATCTCACGCCATTCAATGGATACATAAGCAGCAGAGGGCTGCGGACGCACACTCTTGCCATTTCATTTAACTGTTCAGTCGAGGTGAAAAGTTCCAGCTGCCTGGAGAGGAGAGGAGAGAAGAGGAGAGGAGAGGAGAGAGAGACGATATTCGCAGCCGTATCTCAGTGACTGAGGCCAAAATGTTGCGTTGGTCTTTGACAGCCTTGAGCCTTTCTTGGACTTTGTTCATCTGCGACGTGAGCAGAAGTTCTGCGGAGGAAAGACAGTAAGTAGGCAACAGTCGCATGTCTTGTGGGTCCTTTGTACTTCAATCCAAGAGTTTCCGATGCTCCCAGCGGAAAATTCATTCAACTGCACTGATCCAAGTATGCAGGAAAACCCTGATTCCTGACTGTAGGTGACCCTCGGTCACAGCCTTGTTGTGCTTTAAGTGCGGTCACCACATGATTGTGGAATTAAGTGTAAAAAACCACTATCTGCGGAGTATGGCAGGATCACATGGAATCACAGCCAAAGTAAAGATTTATTGAGTTCCTACTGTTCAGTGAGCCTGCCTTGACTTGACTGTTGACCCGAGCTTGAATAATTCTGGAGATATTTACTTCCTTATTTAAAGATGAACAACATTTTTGCTTCCACCAGGTTTTGTGAGCAAACAACCCTTCCTCGTAGAGTTGTTACTACTGAAGAGCTGTAAACAGCTCGGGGTGATGGAAAGGAATGCATCTCAACGTGGACAAACAAACAAAAACAAAAACTACATGCACAAACTCTTATCAGAGCAGAATGGAGCGAGCACGCAGACTGGAGGGCAACAACCACAACGCTGAAACAATTCAACGGTTCCAAAAGTGTTAGGGAGTTCACCTACAAAGAAAAACATAAATCCTCCTGCAGCTCGGAGCAGCTCTTAGCTAAACTGGGCAAAACAAGCCCTCGATTCCGTGAGGCCATGTGACTGATAGACTGGGAGCATGTTCTGCACCACCTGAACCAAACTGATCCAAAAGCTGGTTAAACTCAGATGATGCAGATCAAACACAGTCATTTCCTCGTATTATCTCCCTTTCCCCCCGACTTTCTCAGGCTGTGCAGCAGCCTGTGGCTGTAATGCACCAGTGCTGTAATGCCAACCACCTGATCTTTTCAGGTATGCAATTGGGTCTGTGCTGGAGGCTTTATCCACTTGTAATTTGTGTGATCTCCAGTTAGGCTTCAGCGGGGTGAGCTGCTCTGTTAGCCTCCAGCCTTCTGACCAAACATTTATAAGTATTTATATGCCTGTAGATGTGTGTGGAATGGATCACCGGACGCTTGTGTTTCTCAGGGTCATCCTGTCAGGGGCTCCATTTATTCCACGTTTCGTAACCTGACAGATATGCCCCAAAATAAAACTCGAAGTGGAGGGTTTTTTTTCCCAGACTTCTTTAAATCTTCAGAGGATGACCTTTGATCTTTGACCTCAGTGACTGCTTTTTTCCTCAATTAAATTTCCAAGTGGCTCTGTGGAAACTCGTTATTTATTTTAAATGGACACCGAGCTTCTGTTCCCAGACCACCCAAAGAACACGCAGCAGAACGCTGTGTAGTCCACAGGTTCTGTTCTAATGAAACCTGGTTCTGCTGCAGAGATCCCTGTAGAAGGTCCTGATTTTACTGTAAGTATACACATGTCTACGTGTGGATAAGTATGTGAGTAGGCATGAAAAGTACTACAAGAAGTATGCAGACTCTCTACGTTGTAATTAGAATTATAGTGTAAACTAGCGTGATTTATTTATCAGTATTTTTTAACAGACAGAGAAGAAGAAATGGGCTTCACTGACAGGAAACTAAGAAATAAAAGTCCGTTAAAAGCTTAAGACAGAAAAATAAAAAAATCTGGAAGGTTCCTAAGTGTGCATGTTTATAACTGGTTACAGGTTTTGGTACCAAAGTTGGGTATGGAACATCAAACCAAACCAGCATCATCTCTCGACTCTATGGTTTTTGAGTGACACATTCCAAAGATGGAAAATACTCTTCAGTCTGTTATTAATGAAAGGTGTCAGAATCTGTGACCATACAGCGACTTGTATTAGTAGCCACGTAACGTGGAGCACCTGCATCTAGGCAAAGGTACCATAGCAATGGAAGCCTTTCTTTCTTATGAGTCGTCTTTTATACAGATAGATGTTGAAAACATCTAGAACAATCTATAATAACCAAGCCAGTAAGAATAATGTCAGTGATGGAGGGGATAGAGGGAGACCCCTGAGAAGATCCATGGATATATGAAAAGACAAGGAGGTGGTCGTAGAGGAGGCGGGAGATAAGGTGGATGGAAGACGATGATTGGCTGAAATGAAGGGAGCAGCTTTTTAGGGATGATTTTTGAAAAACAATTGTGCTCTTGATTGCAGTAGGTCTGTTAGTGTGAACACTGAGGTCCTCTGTCTGTCTTCATCCAGGGGTTACTTGGTGGCTGCACCCTCGGTGTTTCGAGCAGGCGTGGAGGAGAGCGTGAGTGTGACCATCTTCAATGCAAAAGCAGAAACCCGTGTCCAGGTGCAGCTGTCTGTGAAGGGACAGGCAGTGGCCCACAGCCACGGCTCAGTGCTGGGTAAGAACTTCTTCTGACGCTGGGTCGATTTCAAAAAACCAAACTTGCACTGACATGTTGAAATACCGTCTTAGATTTCTTTATTCAGAAGATGGTCAGACCACACATGCAGGTGTATGTACAATGCACACACACAGGTGACCACTGCTGCTGACCAGCTGATGTTGTCATCAGTGTAACCCATCACTCAGTGAAGGTTCTCCATCAGCTGGACTGTCTCGGTTCGTCTCTAACGTCTCCTTCAGTTCTGAGTTGAATGGAAGAAGATGAGAGCTGAAATATCTTTGAGAACCAGACACAGTGTCTGCAGTGTGTGGTTAGTTGGACAGGGTCGTTACTACATGGTCTCCTTTAGCAATATATATCCAACTACAAACCCAAAAATAGTAACTTGACCTTCATACATTATTGCTTTAATTCCTGTTTAATATTTTGACCACATGAAGAGCAAGTTATAAAGAGAATTAAAAAAAAAAAAGTGAGGGCAGTGTCTTTGTTCCAACCACACCACCATATATATTTTAAGGACCATTAACAATGATCCAGGGAGTAAAGTTAATATAAATCTATGTTGTTGTTTTTTTGTTTGTTTGTTTTTTGTGGATGTGCTAGTGTACAAGGGTATGCACGTTTGCTCTTCTGTTTTGCTGATAAAGTCAAACATCAGGTGGATCGAGAAGTTGAAACCAAAGACAGGGTCACTGGCTCATGTCGGAGCACATCTGTCCGCCAGCTGTGTCTGTGTTTACACCTGACCCCCGCCAAATCACCGTCTGGGTCCTTCCCTCACTCTCACTCTCTTCGTCCCCCGCCCCCCCCCCCCCCCGCCCCCCCCCTCCGCAGTCATTCCACTGATATGGATACACTGAGATGTGCTGAGGAAAATGTCTTGACTGAATAATGTCACTGTCTCTCTTCCAGACAAAGGCACCGTCAAACTGAAGGTAAGTCCGAGCCGTGTCCTGCAGCACATGCATGCCGCTGACCGGAGATCTTTACAATGCCTGCCGCTTTTTTAGTGGTGACAGCTGCACAGTAGTGAGAACCTCTTGTCCGTTGTGTGCACATTCCTCAGGCAACATACAAATCAACACTAACATTATTTGTAATGCAACATCTGTCTCTGCTCATTCATTGGGAATAAGGTAACAGCCTGAATATAATATGCAACAGCTGTTGACGTGCACGTATGGTCCGCCGCTCCCCAAGGCTGGGATAGATAGAACAGCGAGTGTGTGCGACGTAGTTCTTCCCCTCTGTGTTTTTATGGTGTGTCTGTCTTTCTTACCCCTCCCTGTGACCTCCGCCCTCATTCTCACGACATACAGTCATGTGTAGTGGACGTTGTTAAAGCATGGCATCCTCTCCTGCTGTGTGAACGGTGCTGGCAGCGTTTCCAGCTTGCGTGACATTAAAAGGCCATGGTTTGTGCTGAAGTCGACACCAGTGACCTATTTTACTTTTGTAAAAATTTAGCCTTGATCCTTCCTGGATGTGCCACCAGGTTCCCTATGGGTTAAGAGGCCAAGCACATCTGAAGGTGTGGGGGAACCGTCACCTGACTGAAGGAGGATACATCTTCCACAACTACACCACCGTCACAGTGGAAAGCAAGGGCACAGCCGTCTTCATCCAGACCGACAAGCCTGTCTACAAACCCAAAAACAAAGGTTTCCTCTTTGTGCACCTGGTAGTCGACCAGTTAATCTCAGGAATGCAGAACATTAGGATAAAAATAGAACAGAGAACATGCAGCACAGTGTCAATAGGTGTTAATTTACACAGGAATTGATTCGCCTGACCTATTTTTTTTCTTGAGATTCTAATAACACTGAAGCTGAATGGATATATTATTAATGCTCTGCTTCCCTGTCTGTCTCCAGTGTTGATGAATGTCTACACAGTCACTCCTGACCTGAGGCCAGTCAACGACAAGGTAAAATAAATGAATAGCAAGCACTGGTACTGTTTGTCATTTCATCTTTAACTCGTGCTCTACCTTTGATTATATGATATGTCCCGTTATCTGTGATGGAAGGACACAGACGTTCTCTACTTGAAGAACTGATGAAGATAAACTTGTTTTTTTTTTCTGAGTACAGGAAAATGTAGTGAACTATTTACAGAAGCTGAGCGAGAGTAATTTCTCTTGGAATGTTAGCAATGGCTTCAAGTATACTGTGCAACCATGCAGACAGATGGTTTATTGATGTTTGCAGCTATGTATAAAGGTCTCCTGCTGGTCGAAGGTAGTACTTACTTTCACAGATGGATAACTGTTGAACGAGGAGAAGAGAGAGGAGAAGAAGCGGGTAGAAGCATGTTTTTTAAAACATCTCCTTCTTGTCTTTCTCTCTTGTCTTCCACAGATTGAAGTGTACATTTTGGTGAGTGCAGGCTGGCAGACCACCCAGGGCTGGCAGAGCCATGTCCAGGAAGGGACAGTGGCAATTTTAGTACAAGATTACAGAGCAGAAGTCATGACAGCTCACCTAGATAACAGGGTGCCCTGGGTAACAGTGAGGGGATAAACAAGATCTCCTCTCCTCTCTTCTCCTGTCCTCTCCTCCACTTTTCTCCTCTCTTCTCATTCCCCATAAACCCTTCACAGATTTACAGCTTCTGTCAAATTTATGGATGTTTTTGTATTTACTACTATTTTACCTGTAGCACGTATCACCTCAGGGAAAGCCTTTCAACAGCAGTCCATGACAGGAGTTAGGTCTTTGGGTCAAGTTCAGTTCAAGAATTCCTTCACCCACTTCTGACAAATATAGTAACCTTCACGTCAGCAGAGTTTTTCTTTTTGTTTTATATTCCCATTTCATCTCGTAGGATCCCAGAGGCTCCAGAATGGTCCAGTGGAAGAGTCTCAAACCTGTCTGCTGTGGTGAGCAGACCAGTCTTTCCACTGCTGTGTATACACTGATATACATGTACTGTACTTCACTTTGATATGGTTTGAAATAGTCTGTATAAAAGGATCAGTTACATAACTGCAGTTGATGAGATTGAGCGTAAATGAAATCTAAATCAAGTCATGTGAAGTGTGACGGCCATTGTCATCAGTTCTAGATACACTGGTGAACAGTGTATATTATATATAATAATGATATATTTTGATTATAGAACTTCTACCATAGAAAGGGCGTTTCACTGTTACACGGTAAAACACAGGAAGTAGTGAGTGGAGCGTACAAATACGTCGTCACGTGGCTTTGTTTACAAAGCCATGCATTAAATTGTGCTACATCATAATAATAATAATAACAACAATACTTAAGTCCTTTATTCATCCAACAATGGGGAGATTTATTTCTAACAGCTAACAGTCAAATGAATACATGTTTTATCAACAGCATTTTTCCATGGTTTCCTAAACCCATGCCACACTAATGTCTAACAACACAAACCAACCCGGTGCTGACCACAGCGTTCTGCTTCTTAACTCTGTAGGCGTTGTAAACACCAGTTTCCCTCTGTCTGACCAGCCTGTGTTTGGAGAATGGCTCATCTTTGTAGACGTTCAGGGTCACACCTACAACAAGTCATTTGAAGTCCAAAAATATGGTACGAGACTGAAATTACATACGGTAGGTCAATTAAAACCAAAAATGTACAGTAGAAATAATAACTCTCTGTTGGTCACGCTGCAGTTATCCCCAAGTTTGAGCTGGTGATAGATTCTCCTCGCTACATCCGGGACCTGAACTCATGTGAGCAGGCCAGTGTCAGCGCCAGGTGACGATCACTGCAGGTGTTCATCATGCTGTCCCTGTTTGACATACAGAGGTCTGACACGCCTGTGTTGTACAGGTACACCTTTGGAAAACCTGTGACGGGGAAGTTAACGGTGAACATGACGGTGAACGGAGTGGGCTATTACCGCCATGAGATGGGACAACCTGTGATCAAAAACATGGAGGTGTGTTTGTTTGTTTCTCCCTTTGCCAGCGTATATTGTGGCTGAGCGTAAATGGTTTTGACTGAAACATATGGTGGTGTGTTCGACCTCCCGTCCCTTAGATCAAAGGCTCTGCAAATTTCAGCCTGTGTGTCAAAGACATGATGCCCTTGGACGTAGCAGACCACTTCAGGGGCGCAGTTAGCATTTGGGCCTCGGTCACCAGCATAGATGGAAGCAGGCAAACCACGTACGACGATTCAACACCAATCCATAAACAGCTCATCGACATCAAGTACTCCAAAGACACGCGCAAGCAGTTCAAGCCTGGTCTGCCTTACAAAGGGAAGGTGAGACTTGAGCCACAATTGTATTGAACGGACATTGTTATTTGAAGAACAGTAGGGGGTCCTTGACTTATGTCCATTCCTACGAAGAGACTTAACTCGATTTTCGTAAGTCTGAACTCCCATACTCTACGTAAGTACAGTCACTCAGCTACGCTAACACAGTGGTGACATCATAATCTAGGACATAAAAACATCAGAAGAGTCCAAACTTTCTAAATGAATTTATGGGAGATGTTGATGTAACCATGAAATGTCTTAGGTCGAGGGCGTAAACTGAGGACCCCTGGATTTGAAACTTTGCAACAACTTTGTGTTTTGCATACTCATCTTTTTTTTGGTTGCAGATCGAGATCACCTACCCTGACGGCAGTCCAGCTGATGGCGTAAGAGTCCGTGTCAAAGCAGAGCTCACGGCAAAAGACAACATCTATACCAGTGAACTTGTTTCAAAGGACGGTCAGGCCTCCTTTGAAATCCCCTCCATCCCCACTGCTGCCCAGTACGTCTGGTTGGAGGTCAGTGGCTGTCCCAGCAGTAGTATCTCGGAGTATATATATATAAGAGCTAAAGTACACGCTAAATACACAGAGTTTCACCTTTGATCTCTTTTGCTTTCGTAGACTAAAGTGATTTCTATCAATGGAAAAACAGTGGGAGACCAGTACCTGCCCAGCTACTTGTCAATCAGTAGCTGGTACTCTCCCAGCAGGTGTCACATCCAGATTCAAAGTCCCAGCACTACACTTAAGGTAAGGTGTTTACTAAGAATTTACTAATTATTCAGAAAAGTTGGGGAATTAGAAAATTAACCTTTGATGAATTTTGATATGGATTGAGCTGCTACCAAAGGCTCTACCTTTGAAGGCAAAGATAGGTCGTGAAGTTTGGCTCCTCACTAGGTTCAACAATTTTGCCAAATGATGGAGTTATTGATATGAAAAAGTATAATTCACATCCTTTTAAGAAAATGTTACATTGGGTTTTTTTCATATACAGTGTAATATAGAATCAGCACAGCAGGGTGTGGCTGATACGATGCATTCAAACAGTCGTTGAACTTTACGATGGGCTGTGGCTCATACACCTGTTTTTTCCAAGAAAATGTATCTGTTAGTTTTAACAAACACAATTAAGTTGTTCCTGGAAAACAATAAATGCAGAACGTTCAAAGGTTAAAGCAATTCACCAGGTCACACATTGGAGTTGTTAATGTATTTTCAATGTGTTTGAGTGCAACAGCTCTGTGGTGAGTTAACAGCGATGTTGTAATTTTCCATGTATAGGTTGGCCAAGAGGCAGAAGTGGCTCTTAAATCCACCTGCCCCTGTAATTTCACCCTGCACTATGAAGTGGCGTCCAGAGGAAACATCATTCTGTCAGGCCAAAAGCCAGCTAACCTCACATCCTCACACCGAGGAAAAAGAGCCGCAGTCACTTTTGACAAAAACATTCACACGACCGACCTGCCGCCCTCCGACGGCAGTAAGTGCTGATGTCAGTTAGGTTCAAAAATAATTACATTTTTTCCACAAACATCACATTTATTATCATTCCACCAGGTTCTCCAGACTCCTCCTCCTCCTCCTCCTCCTCCCAGGCTGAGGTGGATACTTGTGTGACATATCTGCGGTTCCCCGTCAGTCCCAGCATGGCACCGCTTAGTCGTCTGCTCGTCTACTATGTCAGAGAAAATGGCGAGGGAATCACCGACAGCCTCAAAATCCCAGTTCAGCCCGACTTTGAGAACAAGGTTGGGGAGCAGAAGGAAACCCTTCTGTTTGAACTGATTTACTTTGAGTGGAGTTTCCTCTTTAGTCTCATGCTAACAGGACAACACTGATGCTGTGGCGTGTGTGTAACTCATTAAAAGTGGGGGGTAAAATGAGGCGCTCTGTACACCTTTATGGAGCTGAGCCGTGTATCCATGCACCAGCTCTGTCCACAGTGTAATGTCTGTAAACAAACAGCTGTCAGCCTGGGAGATATCCCCAGTTCCTGCCTGCATTAGGTGGAGTTAACTCCCTGAAGTATTTACAGCTCCCTGGTATGCTATTACAACACTGTGTGTGTGTGTGTGTGTGTGTGTGACGGGGGGTGTGGGGGAGGTGGGGTTCTGAGGACATGATGAGACAGAGGCCATGCCGGCCGCAGCCAGAGGAACAGGGTCGTGGTGGGAGAGGATGACAGGTTACAGGGTGGTGAAAGGAGGTCAGAGGAACTGATGAACTGGGCTAATCTGTGACTCTGCACCGCTGAAAAATAGTCGTGACGGGTGAAAGTTTATGGCCTCTCACCGTCCCTGCTCTTTCAGAAGGCTGTAGTTTTCCACTCTGGTTGTTTTTCAGGTGTCTTGGTTTAACCTGGCCCTGATTTCCTCTCCCTGCTTAAAAAGACATTTATGATTTGATTAATTCAGCTGACACTGACTTAGGTGAAGTTCTTTTCTTCCCCTCAGCGCAGTACAGTTATTTTGAATTTGATCTTCTCTTGTGTTGGCTGGTTTGCAGGTGTCTGTTTCTCTGTCAACCAATGACTCAATGCCCGGCGACCCAGTGACCCTGAGTGTCCGTGGGGAGCCCGGCTCCTGTGTTTGCGTGGCCACTGTGGATAAGAGTCTGTATCTGCTGAAGCCTGACTTCCAGCTCAGCCTTGACAAGGTTGGTCGTATATTTCTCTGCGATTAGTACAACCAAACCGGAGGAACTGTGTGTGGATCATCTATCGACGGTACGTGACCGTGTTCTTGCGTTTCCCTCCTTCGTGTACCCCGCAGGTCTTTAAGGAGCTGTCAGATTTTGATGTGTCCGACGCCTTTGGCGTACCCAAAGATGACGGACACTTCTGGTGGCCAGGGCTGTCGTCAAGGAGACGCAGACGCTCCTCTGTGTTCCCCTGGCACTGGGACATCACCAAAGACGCCCGCTTTGCTTTCACGGTATGAACCAACACAAGAATGTCCCAGAGTTAGAAAATAACAGTTATCGTAGTGTGTGTGTGTGTGTGTGTGTGTGTGTGTTTATTGCAACTTGTGTTTGACACAGGAAACAGGTCTGGTGGTGATGACAGATATGGTGAGTTTAAACCATCGGCAGAGCGGAGGAATGTACACTGATGAGGCAGTTCCTGCGTTTCAGCCACACACCTCAACATTAGTGACTGCTACACACTCACGCCCGACACTGAGGTAAAGAGAGAGTCTGAGACCAAACAACAAGAGTCTTCATCCTTTGACTATAAATAAATAAGAGATCATTCACAACCTGTTGATCAGAGCTGCTCACCTTCTGTCTAATCTGATTTTTTTTTCCAGTAGAAAGAAACGTCTTTTTAACAACAATTGTTCTTAGTTTCTCGCTGTAGCTTCTCTTTGTTTTACATCAACATCGATTTTGTTGAAGTTTGATCTTATTTTTAGGTTAAAAGACAATAAAATAAAACAGATTAAGCACTAACCAGCAGGAAATAGTGATGGAGTTTGTTCTTTACAATCAGGCCATGTTTTATCATCTATTTTCCTACAAATGGGATCTAAATGAATGTTGAAGAACACCTAAAAGTTCCATTAACAATGGTAGTTATCAAAACCTTAATTCCAATTGACTTTTAAATATATGATATCACCACACGTTTTTGGTTTCCTGTCTTTTGAAACAACTAAATGGACTAAAATGCCTGAAGGATTCTCTGCTTTACTGAATTTCAGTATAATGTATTTTGTCCTTTTCCCAAGAATCTGTTTATCTTCCCACAATGGGTGGGTGGCTAAATTATTGATAAACATTTACTGAGATCTCTGGCTGGACCACACACACCTCACATGACATCATGTCATATGGGCATGAACCTTTGTAACAGCTCTGAGTTCAATACCAAGCCCATGACGAGGCCGTGATTACGGCGTTTAAAAAATTAGGTATATGAATTTCAGATTCATCATCACGATTATCGCGCAACAATGAGCAAAGGAGAAAATGAAAAGTAACTATAGTTTGTTTTCCTATTAGGTCAATGTTCCCGAATGTCACAAAGGCCTCATTGAAGTGATGAACGTTAAATACATGACGTGACTCTTGAATGTCATTGTGGAATTCAGAATAATACATTGTCCAATTATGGTGTTGTTTTATTGTGAGCAGCTGAAGCCTGTTATTGATGTCAGCCTGTGACTCTGTTGCAGAGCAGAGAAGCGGAGGCGCACATTTTTCCCAGAGACTTGGGTGTGGCACTGCCTCAACATCAGGTATTTAAGTCCTAGTATAAACACTTCACTGGTGTGGATGTCTGTTATAAGCCTATGGCTGGGTACTGGCCTCAGATGTCTGAAAATTAAAAAAAAAAACAACAACGTTTAGCATCTAACAAACATGTGAAATACGTTTAGATTTGAAATAAATGCAGTACAAAAATAATCAATAAAATCAAGAGAATGTTGGATTAAGATGTGAGAGAGAATGGAGTTATTAGGGATGTTCCGTCATCGGACATCATCCAAATGTCCTCCCTCTGGGTGTGAATGTCTCTATTCTAATACGAGACAGTCCTGGAACAGATTCAAACTCTTTTACAGCTCCTTCCATTTATTTTTAGCCAATAAAAACCAGTTGTCCATAGATTTCCATATGTTTGATTTTTTTTTTTTGGACAGGACCTCCGCTGTGTCCTAATTTCCCCGTGAAATCCAAAGCTCAGATTTCCTTAAAAGTCTATTAAAGTGGATTTTGGGCAACTTTAATCAAAGGAAGGGCGTACATGCAGGCTGTGGCTTTATATGCTCTGTGACTGTTTGCCAACACCAATATCATATGTTTTGCCAGTAATGATCTCAGTTGATTCATTCATAGAAACAGCACCTGACTGTCACTCATAGCTCACCGTAGTAGAGTGTTTGCTGTAGTTGCTCTGGTGCAGCTGAGGCTGTTGACACAGGTGTTAGGTTAAAGTAACCATCACCAGCATATCCTCCTTTTAAATTGGTTCAAGGATATAAAGTAGTATTTTGTTTTTCTTCCTCATTCGTGTCTGAACGTGTGTCACTGACAGCTCTGAATCTGGAGAAGCCGAGCTGCGATTGGACGTGCCAGATTCAATTACCACATGGGTAACGGAAGCCATCAGTCTGTCTGGGAGTAAAGGGCTCGGCCTGGCCGACAGAGCAGAGCTGCGGACCTTCAAACCCTTCTTTGTGGACTTCACGCTGCCGTACAGTTTAATCAGAGGAGAACAGACCAAGGTTCCTCTGACGGTCTACAACTACCTGCCAACGTGTGCTGAGGTGAGACCACAACACACACACACACACACACACGGAGGACATTAACATGTTCCTGTGCAGCAAACACCAGTTAGAAGCAGGTTCCATTAAGGGATGACACACGACCTCCAATGACAAAATACAAAGACTTATATCTCTGACTCAGGAGGATAACGGCCCATTAGGTACAGCTGCTTATTTCATACAACAACAGTGAAGGAGATCAATCACTTGTATGTGTGGACATGATCCAGTCAACCATCACGTCTCATTTCTTCATATCTCATCCTATATCTCTAACATCTCATCTCATATCTTACACTCGTTTTTCATTCGGAGTATTTATATGGTGACAAATGATAATTTAGTTCTCATAACCTGCCAAAGAGTCTGAATCATTTAAAATGCATTTCTTTTAGCTCCAGCATCTCTTCAAAGTCAGGTCTTTGTTGACAAGGTTCATTCTTTGAGAATAGTGTAGTTGATGTAACTGTAATCCCAGAGTACCCAGCCCTATCTTCATGGCTTTTGTTTATTAGAAAAAACTCAAGTACTCAGAAAAAAACAGCCCCATTTGAAATAAAACACTGTTGTTTACCCAAATGTAATCCATTATAATAAAAATTAGATTACAAAACTGCCTGGTCCTGCAGACTGGAAACAGATCGTTTAAAATCGCTGTAAAGTAAATCTAAATTCAAAGACAGACATGGATTTACCACCGTGCCTGAAATCCCCAGTGCCTCGCTGTCTATTTCCTGTTAAAACGGTTTGTAGTTCACAAAATTGGCTTCACGTTCTATTGACCATGACCTGAACGTAGTGATTAGGACCATAAACCCTTCAGGAATATTTTTACTGATGTTTTCCGTGGACAGAGAAGCCTTTCTAGTCTATCTTCACTCACTCTGTGAAACCACCTCATCTTTTCTTTAGTGTCCATCACACACACACACACACACACACACACGGATGACATCATGATGACTGCAGAGGGGCTTGTTAAATGGCTGTTGCATGCACTGCTATGATGTCATGTCAAGGATTATGCAAACGTGAATCGCCCCTCTTTTGAAGTCCGACCCAGCAACACGTGAAATATTTTCCGCTCCTTTATTTACGACCTGTGGTGTGAGCGTAACTGTTAAAATTCCTTTGCATTACATTACTTTTCTGTGGATGAGTGGAGCCCGATCCTCCAGGGAGCTGGAGGAGCATGAGTCAGTCAATATGGAAAATTCACAATGTGATTTAAGGAATTCCTCCTCGCTCTCGGAGCTTTGAGGGAAACACGCTAGATGAGGGAGAGGCATGTGTTGCAAAAGTGATGTCACTGTGAGGAGTGTCAGAGGTGATCGACTGCTTCTGACTCCTCTTTCTTCTTCTTCCTACCTCGTCTCCTCCGTTATCCTCTTGACTCCATTCCCACAGGTTCATGTTAAAGTATCGGTACCGAAGGGCATCAAATTTGTCGGCCACCCCGGACGACACCATGTCACCAGGAAGAAGTGTGTTGCCCCTGGAGAGGCCACGCCCACGTCAATCGTGCTGTCCTTCACTGAGCTGGGCTCTGCTAACATCACAGGTACCGACGTGTCAGGAAGCTAACGGTTGACTACTACAGGAAGCTAATGGTTTTGGTGTTGACTATTAACTTCCTTTGACACAGTTTAACTTAATACTTTGTTCCTGATCTACATACATTCCATTCATTTAAAAAAGTTGTGCACACAAATGAAAATATCAACTCTTATTTTTGCACAGATAACAAAGAACATTAAAGCTGTATATATTAGTAACTGACAGCATTTTATGACAGTTGTACGGTCAACTATAATATTACTACATTATAATTGATATATTTTGCTAAAGATTTTTTGATTTTGATAGAAAAATGCACAGCCGTGTTGAATCGAGGCCGGTCAGTGTCTTATTAGCTCTCGAGGATTTTAAGTTATAACAACTGGCTCACATTGATCATTGATTAATAGTTTGATTGATTTGTGAAATTGATTTATCATGACATATTTGTATTATCATCCCAGTTAAATTGAAATGAAGGTCCTTTAACCTTAAATTCCTCATTGACGTGTTTGTAAAATGGAGATCCAGGAAAATAAATGACGTGTTTGTAAAATGGAGATCCAGGTAAATAAAAAAAATAAAAAATTAAGGTTAGGTTATTTAATTATCGTAAATGTTTTTTTTTAGGTCACTTCATTAGGATTTTTTACTACCTTCAAAACTGCAACACTACAACATCAGTCTAAGTAGCCGTCAGGGTTAATCTGTTTTAAACTCAATACTAACTACAGATGAATAGTATTTGTTAGTAATAATACAGTTTGTTGTGGTTCCACTGCAGTTTAGAGTATTCTAAAAAAGGCGTGACGACTCGTATCAAACCTTTGGTGGTATATCACTGACCAGGCTGCAGGTCATGTGACACGTTACTTGAAAGCAGGCCTTTGGCTCAGGGAGAGTGTGCTGTGCCAAGGCGCCGAGCTGTGTGTGATCTTGTCGCCCACCCAGAGACGCAAACAGTCCCCCCTGAAACTCATGTGAGAACAAAGCAGGAGCGCAGTGGGGGAACTGTTCTGTGACAGTGGCATGTTGATGAGTTTGCAGGTCATTAGCGGTCAATGGGCCCCCCACGGCCCCACTGTGAGCTCTTTGGCCCTGTGTTTTTCCCTTTCACTACACACAAACAAAGAAATGCTATTGGCCCAGGGCAGCGTTTCCAATGTGCTGCTCAGTGAGAGAATGGCGAGTACGCTTACGGACATGTTTGTCCTGTGTGATGTATGTTACGGCCGGTGAGCGTAAATAGATGAAAACAGGTTCTGTCCGGGCCTCGACCATTCATGTCACAAGTATGTGGTTTGGTTTTCCTCGAAAAACGGAATCATTTGATAGTGATGTTTAGACCTGTACCAATGAGTGCCTTTGTCATTGAGTTTGGTTAGTTCCTATGTTCAAACAGACGTGTGATCGTGTGTTCGTGTGTTCGTGTTTCCTCTCAGCTCGGGCCATTGCTTACAGTGAACCGAGCTGCTGTTCAGATGGACTACAGTCTGGAAAAACAGCCAACGATGTGGAGGAAAGGACACCGATTGGTCTGGACTATGTTCGAAGGACAGTTCTGGTAGAGGTGAGTTAGTCTTTCAGTCCTGGGAGGTTCTAATTATTCAAACATACTAACATCCTTACATGATTCATCATGATCAATGTGTCCTCTCCTCATTCTTTTTGCAGCCAGAGGGTCTGCTGAGGGAATACACCTACAGTGTCTTCTTTTGCCCCAATGGTCAGTTTACAGACGTTGACCCGACACATTTATTTCCATGTATTTATATAGATATATTTTATAAACAATTTTAATAATGTAGCTGTCAATATACAGTACTGATATTTATTTCCTGTTTGTATAGCTGCTCGATGTGGAAGCTAGTTCAGTGATTCTCAAACTCTTTTGGTCATTTCCACTTTGAACTGGGGATTTTCAAGCCCCACCTGCCCCGTCCACCCAACAGAAATCTCGACAAATGACATATCAAATTGATTGAACTATCACCAAGTAACGGCATATTTAAAAATGAATCAAAGTCAATCATATCAAATAACACAAAGTTCAAAAAGATAAATACAACTTGAACTTTCCTCCCCAGTGGGTCCCGCCCCACATATTGAGAACCACTGAGCTAGTTGGTTATTAATTAAAACATATTTTACTATCTTGAAGTAGCTGAGTATTTTCTTTTTTTAATCAGAGAGGATCCACATATCTACTCCAAACAAGTATGAGTATCAGTATGTGAAAAAGCCGGCCAGGATGAACCAGTTCCAGGTGGCGGTGAAGACACACAACGACGCCCATTTCGCTCTGTCCGCCAGCCCTCATGACAGTGCGGAGATGTTAGAAATCGTGCTCGGAGGAAGGCAAAACACCCGCTCCTGGATCTCCATGGGGAAGATGGGTGAGCCCCTGGTCAGCGCCTCTACACCGGGAATACTCTCCTGGGACGAGTTCCGCAGCTTCTGGATCAGTTGGAAGGGAGGCGTGGTCCAGGTAAATATTCAACTCCTTGAAATGAATCAACAAGACATGATTAATGTGACATGTTCCACATAAAACATGCAGCTCCCAGGGTCAAAGATTCTAAGCTTCTGTTATGATACAGGAGAATTAACAAAAATACGATCCTGTCTCTGCTCCGATTAACAACACAGTGAATGCATGAGGCGTTCACACATCTCACCACTGATTGAACTTACTTTGACTATTAGTACATGGGAAAGTGCTGCTCCGTTTAAATGACAGCAAATGTGCTGTAACTTTCTGTTCAGTTGGCTGTGGTAACTATGCAGAAAGTTTCATTTTATTTAGCTTTTATTTTGAAATATGACTTTTATTAACTGTATTGTAACATGTTTCAATGGGGTCACCTTTTGTGAGGTCATACAGACAGGGACACTCACTGAGGACACACTGGACACTGTAATCTGTACCATCACCAAAGGCAGCAATTAAAAACCCGCCAAAAGTTCTATAGACTTGACTGGCTTTCATAGAGATAATAGCATTTTGGAGGGAATGATCAAAAGGGCTTAGATGATCTTTGGCTGAGTGTTACTAACGAGTTATTAACTCTGGCACCAGATGAATCGTGTTCATTACGGCTCGGCTCGTATATTTGTGTTTGTGACTGTGCGAAAGGTTAAGTGAAACACACTGAAGGAAATGACACTGGATTAATTGTTGTTTTATGTTGTTAATCAGTTGTTTCTTCATCTGTTCATATTGGTATATTTGTTGTAACAGTTGGAATAATCCTCGGTTTTCTTCTCACCACAAATCTGTGTTTGTCTTCTCTAAGGTGGGACACGGTCTACATCCGTCTAATGAGTCAGTGATTCTCCAGTGGCCAGGACAGTTCCATGGACAGGTTTGACATTGTTGGTATTTGGATGGTTTTTCAGGAGTTCTTCTTCAATAACCACAGTTTGTGTTTCCAGGTGCGACACATAGGCTTCTCAACAGGCTGGGGCTCAGTAGGAGAATTTAAGATCTGGAAGAAGGAGGACTCAGACGAGAACCACAATGAAGCCTTTACACTTGGCGTCCCCCACAACATGGTGCCTGGATCTGAGAGGGCCACTGCATATATGATCGGTACTGTAGTACTTCTGTATGGCAAAGATCTTAGCGTTGTGTCCAGACCGGTTAGGTTTGGCTTTTATCTTTAAGTACCTTATATGTGTGTGTGTACATGTGCTCCAATATCAGGGGATGTGATGGGGCCAACTCTAAACAACTTGGACAAACTCTTGAGGCTTCCATTTGGATGTGGAGAGCAGAACATGATCCACTTTGCTCCAAATGTTTTTGTCCTCAAGTACCTACAGAAGACGCGGCAGCTGAGCGCTGAGGTGGAGAATGAAGCCACCGACTATCTTCTGCAAGGTGAAAAATACTTTCACCTAACAACAGTCAAGTATATGTTGAATTAATGTGTTAACTAATTAATTTAACTTGTCAATTTAATACACAGGCGATACACATGTTGTTATTTGCACACACTGCGGGGAAAGTTTTTTTAGTTTTTCACCAAAGCACTTAGGGCTTTAAATACCATCTCAACAACCAGGGATCATTTGGATTGATGGTCACAAATAAAAACAGGAGGGAAACACATAGATCTACCTGCTGGTATTTGTTTTTTCTGTTTCATTAATATACAGAGATGACGTTTTTATTTTAATCACATTTAGGAATGTTAATTTCTTTCAATTTAGCATGATTGATGACAATTAATAATTAATAATAAAATAATATTAATCAACAGCTGTCCTGAAGTTACAACTTTTAATCCTTACTTTTAATCCTTTGACTGAATAATAATAATAATAATAATAATAATAATAATTATTATTATTATTATTATTGTTGTTGTTGTTGTTATTGTTATTACTAAAATAATAAATATTATTATTATTATTGTGAATTGTCTATATTCCATTTGCCGTACCATCATTTATAAATATTTTCCTGCAGCTCTTCCCTCAGGCCTTTTTTTTCTGTCAGTAAAGTAGTTAAGAGTGTATAATCACAGTGACGTGTGCAACAACCACAAGGACATGTCCAAGCAGCCTTGGTATTTCTATCCATATTCCTTCAGTGAATGCAGCCTCCTCTGTTCCAAGGCCTGATAGTTCATATTATAGCTGTAGCCCAGGTCTATAAAGCTTCTTCCATTGACTGATTATGTATAAATTCTGTGTTGACTCCAAGTGTTCTTCCATCACCTCCATCTGACATTTGTTAAATTTACTGTGTCTTCAGGCTACCAGAGACAGCTGACCTACAAACGGCAGGATGGATCCTACAGTGCCTTTGGAGAACGGGATTCCTCTGGCAGTATGTGGTAAGTCACTGCAGGGCGGTGGTAGCTACAGTAACAGCAGCTGTGTTCTCAGGTCTGCACAGAGATGTAGATTACAGACTGGAGTAATGAAGGTCCTTATCAATACTTCAGTTTACTCTGCTGAAAATAATCTATTTCTGTTGCTCTGTTTGAATAACTGTTAGCGCTTGTTTCGTGTTTACGCTCTCGTAGGGTAGACTCCGAGGCAGAACCATCTCATAATATTTACAGAACTTAAATCGGTGCCCGGAATTAGGCGCTGCGCTGCTTGCATTATGAGGCCCATGTGCACCGTACATACCTGAGGTTTATTTATGTCCGGAGGTAGGTATTATAATATTTAATGGAGTTTACACTGTGGAGCAGCTGGTTATATAAACGACCAGAAATCATAAACAAACTGCATAATTGGATCATCTGAGGTAGCCAGAGCTGTCAGGATTTATTTGCACTTAATCACGGCTCATATCCGCTGCACTGACTGGACCCACGCTGCTCTGGATCCACGAAGAAAACTTAAATGCCTGGGTGGGAGAGGCTCTTTTTGTTTGTGTGGAGTCACTTCAGCAAACGGTCGTCCACGGTTGACATGGCGCTCGGTCCTAATGACTCACTCCCTCTGTGTCAGTGGTAACATTAAACTGCCTCAGAAACCTTCAACTCTTCCCCTGATGACGTTCAGAGGATATGAGGATATAACAAGCAATGATGTGGAGTTTTCTTTACCGCCCCTGGGAAAACAAGTTTGCGTTGTGGGCACAAACACAGATGGTGAACCTCCTGTACGCCTGCATCAGACTCGTTATGAATCAGTCGTCAGCATGTGAGCGTCCAAAATAAGCGCTGCTTTTGATTTGGTTTCACGGGTTCACGAGAAGGTAAGTGCACATACTGTACTGTCTGCTCTGACGTACCTGTAACACAGCCTTCACTTTACTGGGATGAAAGATGAAGAAGAAAGTTGTGGCTCGCAACACTGGGAAGAAGGATCGTCTTTTGACAGGGAAGAAAAAATTACTGATACAAATATTATTTTTCTACATTCCATTTTTCTATGATGTAAAAACACCACACACAATGTTAATCGAGTGTATTCTTTCAATTCTAAAAGACATTTTTGATGTGAAAATGGGGTCACAGGTCAACTAAGATTGGAAAACATGAAGTACAAAGTACAGATCGCTAGTTAAAGAGAACAGTGACAGTATGTTGTTTTGCTTTGTAAAAGACAGCTGACATTTTAGTACACGTTGTTTAAAAATGTCCAACCTTCTGTTCCACAGTGTGTGACAGTCATTGTTAAACACAGTAGGAATCTGCAGACGCTGCAGAATCATATCAATCCATCGATTGACAAGAGTTGAATAGAATTCCTTTTTTGTGTTAAGTTGACCGTCTGTGTTGAAGAGTTGAATCTACATACAATGAGACACTAGTAAGAAGTATCACTGATATGTAATACCCTGTTATTGTACTGCGGTTTTTTTATGTTTATCAAAAAATGTGCTGTCTAGAAATTAATTTGAATGTGAATGTAGGATTAGACTTGACCTCTTGACCTTTCAGAATAGATAGTCTTTATTGTCATTGTAACACGGGGTAAAACGACATTTTTATTTATCACACATTTTTAACACCCCTCCAATAATCATCATCTTGCAAAGATATTGCCAATAACAAACTTGGACCTGGAGATTGCATCATTGTATCTTAGTAGTGGAGGATTTGTTTTTACTAAAGCCTCAGTCCCAGTCTGTACTGTACATGTTGAGGCTGGTACGGCATTTACAGTATGTCTGCTCCCAGATATATCTGACAACAATAACAGTGTGATTTGACTTTGCATTATAAAAACAAACCTGAGGATTTATACTTAATAACTTTGCTCTTAAGACTCTAGGATCCAGGTCGTAGGCAGGGCACGTGCGGTATTTTCTCCATCAGGGTGAAGTTTTTTCACTGGTCACCGCTGGGCTTTTCAAAATTATATTTTATTTTTCTCATCTGAGTGGCACTAAGAAATGAGCACATGATTTATTTGTATATTTCTTCATATTCATCATGTCTTCCATCTCTGTTGTAAACAGCTTTTATTTGGTGAGTAAGCCGTGAGTCAGGGCTGCTGTGTTGGAATGTTTTGTACCGGGAGGTGTGTTGTTATGGAGGAGTGTGTGTTCATTAGCTCAGCCGTGTCCCCCTGAGCTGACCTTGGTTCTCCACGGAGTCACAGTGCTGCTACCAGGGCCCTCTGAAACCACAGCTCATAAACAGCCACGCGTACTCCCAGGCTGCTCACAGTCACAGCGTTTCCCTGAGATCTGTGTGTATGGGAAACTGATGCAGGTGCAGAAACATACAACATTAGCCTTTCCCATTCTGAGGAGCCCAGCTGGGTCTTCCTGTCACGGCGACTGCGCTCTGCTGTTCACATCTGTCCCACTCTTTACATCCTGGTATTTAATCAGATATGTCTTCACATATTGGCAACCTAGACAATCACATGACAGTCCTTCAATGTTTTCCCCTCCTTTCCTCCAGGTTGACAGCGTTTGTCTTGAAGTCCTTTGCTCAGTCTCGAGGTTTTATCTTCATCGATCCTGAGGAGCTTCGAGAGGCCAAGTCCTGGCTCATCAAACATCAACGGAGTGACGGCTCTTTACCTGCGATGGGGACCA